TGTTTGCTGTCATGGCTAATGTTTTCCGGAAGTTTCTGCTGCGCTCTGCACAAACAGGAGTGTTTGTGATTATCACTCTGCACGACAAAGTCTATTTTACTGCAAAAGTTAAATTAGAACTTATCAGAAGGTTTGGCAGTATTTCTTGGTTTAAAAGCAAATTTCCCAGGTCGCAAGCCTAGGAAAAGACTCTTTTGGTTTAATCCAAAGCTCTGCACAACAATGGATAAGACTGTGGTTAAGAAGGAATCTAGTCCAGTCCTGGCTTCCCTTGTAATGTCTGACTGGACTAATGTCTGGTTTGTAGTTAAGCAACCATTAATCCATCTGAAAAACAATTCACAACCATAACAGCAGCAGTATTTTCCCTACCCCTGGGTACTTTTTTTACCATACCCAACAGAAAGGCAAGGGATTCTTTTCAAACATAATTTTTCTTACTTCACCCCATCCAGTTTTGATTCTGATCAAGCTATCATGCATCTGGGGTTGGTTGGTTGGTTGGTTGGTTGGTTGGCAACCGGAAAGGAAAAGCATCTCCACCTAGTCTCAGCCCTCCAATTAAAATAATAGTGGAGAACTATCAGCATTTCTTTTTCTGTATGGTTCATATCAGATACATTTATTCATGTTGAAGGTGGGCAACGCTGAAAAAAATTGGTGACTGTGTAAGAAATTCAAACCACACATTTTAATGTGCCTTAGTAAAAAAAGATTTTTATTTAGAAAGGAATTGCTAGCAAGAGGGAAGAACACAAAAAAGTTACCCATTAGCTAAAGTCTTTAAAAGCATGTGTAAAAAATACTGGCATTTATTATAATAGTCTAGGATTTATGGCTTCCAACTAAACTTAAAGCATCTCTCTCTTCAACTTTCCTTCCTTCTTATCAACTTTCAGCCTAGTTCTCACCACTCCTGGTAAGTTTCCTTTTGCTTCCATCTGCCCTTCAGCTGAAGCATTTATCATGCACCCCTGTCAGGTTCAGCCCAAGAAACTCCACGAGATGGTTCTGGAATTGCTCTGTTCTTTATTAG